GTACTACTTGAAAGGAAACATATGTAAAGTTGCATCCAATAAATCCTAGAAAAACAAAATATATATATTTTTTCCTTCCTTCCTGGTAGACCATTGCATACTTTCCATAATGTCCCACCTTGGAAGATAAGTTCAACCGTTGTAAACAAGAAGTCAGGGGACACAAATTGCAGCCGCTGAGATGGTGGTGGGGAGAAACAGATGAATAACCATACCAGAAAACGGACAATAATGTAAAGCATGAGCTTAACTGGTCTCAAAACATGTATATATGGAAGCAAAGACAACGAGTAGGCTCCTCCAACCAGCAGAAGTGTTACCACTTGTATAGGAATAGAAAGCATGCCAAGGCAACGATCAGGAGAGCAAAATCCAATATGCTGAGGCCGGAGAAAAGCCAAGGCAACTGCCTGAGTGTAAGACAGGGTCCATCTAGGTAACAGGCTAGAGTTTATTGGTCGTGTCTAGGGAGGGCGATCTTCATGGGTGTTGGCGTTGAGAAGGCCAAGGAACATCTGTGTGGTGAGCAGGAAAAGGCCGCTATCGGGAAGGATTCCCGTGTAGGTACTGCAGCCAATCAGGGACAGAAAACGATTCCATGGCCAGAAAAGCAAAAAGGTCTGGTAAATCTGCCTGACTCCGCAGGGAGAAGGTGGATACATTTACCGCACTATAAGATGGAGAGGGAAGCCCCAGTGGCTCACAGGATTTTCCATTTCTGGAGCATCGCCCGGGACAAATCCGGTAAAATATGTACTGTGGCTCCATCAAAGTCTAACAGGCCCTCGGACCAGGCTTTCCGAAGAATTTCCTCCTTAACAGAGGAATCGGTGGACCCCACAGATGATATCCCGGGGACAAGCAGGATCAGCGCATCTAGGTCCTAGCGCCCTGTGAGCCCGATCCAGTTCAATCGAAGTCGCGCGGGGGGGGGGGATGTTAAAGATCGATATTCACTGGGCCTGTAGCTTCCTGGAGGCATCTAAACCGCAGATTGTTGCGCCAGTTCCGGTCCTCCAAATGCAACTGTAGGTCGGAGAGAGCTCCCATCACAGATCTTGGATTTCCCGGCTGAGGGTCTCTATTTTTGCCACCAAAGCTTCTATGTCAGCTTTAGTAGGTAAGAAGCAAAGCAAGGCCCCAATATCTAGGTCCTCCACAGCTCACGAGGCTTGCCACCGCCGGTGATTGAGGCAGGGATAGGTTCGGTTCAGAAGGAACAGGCAGCTCCGAAGATGGCATGTCACTCGAGTCTGCAGCTCGAGGGACATGCCAAGGATAATCAAAGCTTTAAAGACAAGACAATTCCATATCTACCATAGGAACAGCCCACTTCTTAGTAAAGACTTCCCCAAATAGGTATTGGACCACAAAATATTTGAGAGGTGTAAACAGTTTATCAGGAGTTTTTCAGGCAGCTTACCAATGTTTTAGTGGTCCTATGCCTATCAGTGACCTTGCACAGGTAGCAGTACTAGTAGAAGCTGCACCTTCATCTTTACATTAGTATGCACTGCATCAATAAGAGACAAAATGTACTCTCTCAAGCTGGGAGTTATGGTGGTTGCCCGTGAATCCTTTAGGAATGACTTAATCCCGCAAGGATTTATAAGACACTTTATTAGATAGAGCCTCCACAACCAAAAGTTTAGAAGCCCTTAAGAAGGCAGGCAGATTAGATAAGGATTCTGAAGGAGAAGGCGCTGAGGCACGCTTATGGCCTCCGCAGTCAGAGTCAGCAATTAACATTGCAATTTGGCTCATAAAATCCTGCATAACTGCAGTTAACCTCCTGGGTTAAACCAGAGGGAGGGCCATAACAGACAATGGGGCCACCAAGACAGACTCAAGCAGGGAACAATTCAGGTCACCCTGACACTTTTAGTGGATTGAGAGGCAGAAAGACATGATTATGGGCGACTGCTCTGCTTGTAGTTGTGATCCGATATGCTGCACCAAGAAAAACAACTTAATTTAGTATACCAGGTACAACCTTGGGTAGTCACAAAATGACTGTTGAGAACAGGAAAGGTTCAAATAGCCAAAGGCAGCAGCGAGAACTAACTGAGGTAAAACCACATGTCTCCTGCAAACAGGAGCAATAGCGGGAAGATGCTACCTCACGCTGAAGGCAGGAACAGAGTGCGCAAAAGCAAGAGATGCAGCACTCAATTCCTCTGTGTTTTTACCCTTTCTGTGGAGACCAATGCAAAAAAAACAGGAATAATAATTTGGGATGCACCGTTATATCGGCCGCCGAAACATATTGGCCGTAAATGGCCGAAAGTGCCATTTACCTGCCGATACATCGGTGCATCCCAGGTTTCTTTCCTCCCCGCTGGGCGCTGCTCTGTGTCCCAGCGGGGAGGAGAGAAAGTGACAGCCAGCCGAGCGCTGCGGGAGGAGAGCTTTGTGTCCTCAATCTCTTTTTCTATTTTAAAAGGGTAATATCAGGGGTCTGTTTAGACGCCAAATATTTCCCTGAAGCCCCTAAAAGTAAAAAATAAAAATATTTAATAAAAATATAAAAAAATATTTATAAAAATAAATAAAAATACAATATTTAAAACATTTTAAAAAATGTAAATAAAAACATTTCCGGTTTCGGCCTGACTATTTTTTTAATTTCGGTTTCATTTCGGTTTTTAAATTTCTATTTCGGTGCACCTCTAATAATAATGACACCCAACGGTCCCAATTAACATAGTAGCTCCCAATGCTCAGTCCACATGGACTATTCATAAATGAGTCTTCAGAACTGAGTTACACCAGAGGCTGTACCATAGCTCTAGACCTGGAAAGCGCTCTGTGGCTAACTAACCCAGCAAATAGAGGTCTAGAAAGCACCACAGAGCCCCGCACTTAAAAGGTCATATTTCAGGCAGGCCGTGCATTTGGTCCAGTGAGGTCCAGGTAAATTCTCCAAAGCTTTTGCCAAGGATATTCTGATCTGCACAGCTGCATAAGGAGACCAGCTCAGCAGCATGTAGATGACGTCTTGACTGAAGAAAACAATTATGATAAAGAGAAAATGGCTACTCAGTAGAGAAAAGACATCATCCTAGCACAAGCGAAAAACATGCTACTGGTGGGAGGGATTGTACCAGGCTGGTAACTGTTTTTTTGTTTGCCAATGTCCAGGCCCAAAATAAAACCAAAAAAGCAAGCAGTTCTTTACTGTATAAGTTAAAAGACTAACATTTTCTTCAAATGATGTTCATAGTTAATAATACTACAAATATGTATACATGTAGAATAAATAACCCTCCTATTACTAGAAATGGAAGCTCCATTTATCAGGACATTTTATGTAACCACTTCAAGACCAGGTGTTTAGACCCCCTTCCTGGCTAGGCCATTTTTCACTATTCAGCGCTGTGGTACTTTGACATTTATTCCGTCATGCAACGCTGTACTGAAATGAATTTTATACCATTTTTTGGGGACAGAGAGAGCTTTATTTTGGTGGTATTTAAACACCACTGGGGTTTTTATTTTTTACTATAATTAGGAAAAATTACAGAAAATTTTGAAAAAAAAAAGTATTTTTTTACATTATGTTAGGAAACATTTATTATTACCCAGTTTTTTTGGTAAAATATAAAAGTCGGGGTCACGTCGGGTAAATAGACACCAAACATGCCACTTTTTAAAATTGCGTGCACCCGCGAAATCGCAGAAAACTACCATACCCAAAATTGGCCATAGGCGACACTTTAAAAGTTTTTACCGCTATCAGTTAAGTGTTATCAGTGATTGATGGCCCTAGACTTATTGCTCTCACTGCGACGTTCGCGGCGATATGTAACATGTGCGGCGTAATGGGCGCAATCGTCTTTTTTGCACGTAAGCGCCCTCGACGCATGTTTGCATGCGTGTATGTATGGGTGGGGACTTAAAAAGGAGGAGAGGAGACCGAGCTCTCTCTGATCCCGTGACACAGGCGACCTGCTGATCCCGGGCTCGTTTCCCGCTCATGCACGCCCAGCGGCGCGCACGAGGGGGCGTGTCTGAGCGGACGTCTAAAGACGCCCGCTCAGATCTAGAGATCTCCGGGCCTACACACACACTATAATATAGCAAAGTAGAAGGTGCTTCCTAAGGACATTCCACACAAAAAATTAAGGCATGATTCTCCGCAACTGCATTTATTGACAACGAAGAATACTACTGTGTATAAGACTATATCCAAATTGTCAGCACAATTGTTACAAATATAGATCTAGCAAAAAGAAGCAACTGCTTATGGCCCAATGTCGACAGGCTTTATTGCCAATAAATTTGACATGAGTTTGAGGTTACCGGTATTCAGAATTCATTGCAGGTACTTATGACTTGCATTAAGCTGCTTTTGCTTTCCTATAGACTTGCATGGGAAAGAGAAGCAGTTTTCAACTGCACACGTTCCTTTCAACACAGGCCCTTTACATGTTTACTAACCTGCTCTAAATCCATTTCTTCAGGGCTTCCTGAAGGGTTTAAATATTGTCCACGCAGTTTCTTTAAAGGCACTACTACAATATAGTAATGTCTAAAAAAAAATACAATAAAAGAAAAACATTTTGTTAAAACGGATATTTCAGTAGTATTCACAAAAGTAATGCATTTATAAGCTTTTGCAAGCTGTAATCAAAATTCATGGCATAATTTGCTCATTTCTAATAACCTCTTTCTATATTGAGAAAAGTATGGTGTACTTTTGTCAAGCACTTATTGTAGATTTTATTGCAATTATCCGCAAGTATTTTTTATATATCTTTCATATTTTTACAAACTTGCACTTCCAGTTTTTTTTATTATTGCATTAAAGATCCAGGTTCAGTCATTTTCCACTCTTAACAACTGCTGAGATGGGATAACAGTTAAATTAAGGTCCACCTAGTTTTCAGTATATAAACTCTAAAAAATTATTATTTTTTCTTACAAAAGGTGTTGCCAATAGAAGGCAATGTAGTGGAGAAATGTAGTAATTGCTTCAAATTAAAAGTAAGAAAAACTGGGCTTGTTTGGTTAGAAAAAGAAAGGAATTTGAAGTAAACTCAAAAGTACATCCCATGGAAATTGTTGACTTTTTGAACATATCTGAACATGCAAACATTAGATTTTCATTAAATTGTACCTACAGATAACATTGATATACTTTAACAAATTATATGGTGGATTTATTACCAAAATCCAAAATTACCAAAAATGCTGATTTGTCACATGGAAAAAGTAAATACGCCCCTACATCCACATCAAATCCATTATATTAGAATCAGGTTTTCTGGATTAGGTGCTGAGGATTACAATCTTATTGGGTAGTATGAATCTGGAAACAGTCTCAGATATCTAGCGTCTGATACTCTTTTTGCTATTGACATATATATGGCGTCATCATGCCAGCATCAGCATGTGGATGTCTAGGAGTCTGGCAATAGATTTTTTTTCCTTAAATGCCAAATTTTTTTAAGTCAATTATTCCACCGTATGGTAAATAATTATAATTGTTACTTGACTGCTAACTCTTCCAGGACTGGCTGGCCCAGCAAGTTCAGCACAAGAGCCTAATGTCCGATGCTTAAAGAAGTCTCTCAATTAGCCAAAAAATTTAATTGGGGGACCTGCAGGTAACTCTTGCAACAACTGTTGTCAAAGTGCATGCATCTACATTTACAATCACAAAGAGATTGCACTGATTTAACCAGTGTACCAGGAAAAAACCCTTTGCTGTCCAAAAGAAACATTAGAGCAAGACTACAGTTTGCCATTGAACATATAGAAGAAGACAGGCCTTATGGAATGTGCTATGGACAGATAAATCAAAATATAGACTCCATAACAGTAGGCATGTTTGGAGGAAAACTGAAGAGAACATTTCAGAACCTATGAATTTTTCATCATATCAAAGTTGGCTTAAAGTGACATTAACCCCTTCGTGACGGGAGACGTACACTGTACGTCCAGCCACAAAGGGACCAAATGACTCGTCACGTACACTGTACGTGACGAGTTATTTGCTGCACTAGAAGGCTGCTAACCGCTGAGAATCAGCGGTTACCTTTCAGTAATAGATGTCTAACTATCTAGAGATCCATTACTGAAAGGGTTAACCTTTTTCAGACACCCGATACCTTAATATCGGGTGTCTGAGAGTCACAGCAAAGCAGACACACATGTCGGCTTTTGCCGGCATTCTGACAGCTCGTATAGATCGAGAGATATCTCTCTCAAGCTATACTGGCTTTTTTTTTTTTTTTCTTTTGACTTTCAAGAATAGATACAAAATGTTATGTATTAGACACATAATGTATCTATTCTTGAAAGTAGAATGTTTAAGTTTTCTGAAACATTCACTGACAGCTGAATCCTGAACTGCTGCAGGATCAGTGTCACTAACTTATTATCGGCTGTTCTGAAGTTTGAAGCAGCCTGATAATAAAAAAAATGTATTAATTTATCAAGCAGTAATAGTGAGATTAATTCACAATGACTGCCTGATATAATTAAATAAATAAAATTTGTCAGTATAAAAAAAGTGAAAAGTGTAAATAAATTAAAAAAAATAGTGAAAAGTGTAAAAAAATTAAAAATAAGGGACAAATAAATGAATGTATGTATTGCATTTTTTTTTAGCTGTGCTGGTTTTGTTAAAAAAAAATACTACAAATCAAAACTGGGAAAAAAAGTTTTTTTTAACGTTTTTTCCTCTTTTTTTAATTTGTATTTGTCCTAAGTGAGGCGTTAGACACACATATGTGATATAAATATATAGCCCTATCTGTCCTCTAAAAAACAATATATAATATGTGTGGGTGCACTTTGTAAGAAAGTATATTACTGACGTGGAAGAATCACACAGCAAAAATGTCAAAAGTGTGTCAGTCATTTACGAACAGAAACCAAAAACAAGCTCAGTCATGAAGGGGTTAAAGGATAATTTTTTTCCCCCTCGCCCCAATGTTAATGTCAGCACTTAAATGATGTCTCTTAATCCAATCTTCTTCTTTCCCGATGTTTTCATCTGTCCTTCCAGCGGTGCGGCGGCTCTCCGATCCAGCGCTGACTCCTCTGTCCTTGCAGGCATTTCCGATCCAGTGGTGTGTACATGCGGCTGCACGCGTCCATAGACTTACCTTGCGTCTCTGCTCGTCTCCCGGCCGAGAATCCGAACTGCGCATGCGCCCGTCCCTAGATGCTTTGAAGCCGCCCGAGCAGTTTCGGATTCTCGGGCAGGAGCGCGTAGCGAAAACAAGGTAAGTTTAAACCACTGTTATAACAAGTTTTTTTTTTAACGTTTTGCCTATATCTACTGCTTGATAGCAGTAGATATAGGCAAAAAAAAAACGGAGGGTTTAGAACCCCTTTCATGAGATGCCATTTATCCTGAAGTTGAACCTGAAATGAACCTTTCAACACAATATTGATTAAAAGCACACTAACAAATCCACCAAGGAATAGCTAAAAGAAACAAAATGAAGGGTTATGTACTGCAAAGCCATGATTTGAATCCATTTAAATTTTGGGGATTTGGAAATTGACAATTAATGCAAAAAAAAAACACTAACAAAGTTGCAACTACAGTAATTTTGCATGAAGCAGTTGACAAACATGTCATCGATGTCAGACTAATGGGAAGTTATGCAAAACGCCTACAAGTTTTAATATCTGCTAAAGGGACAGTACATTATGATTTTCCGCAGTTCACTATTGCATCTATTGATAAAATAAATGATTGAAAACAAATTGTCCTTGTGTTTTTATTCACGTATATCACTTTAATCTGTAGGCACTATTTGCATGAAGATTGCCTGTGCAAATATGTTGAAAGAGTCAACAATTTCCATGCAGTGTACTTACTTTTCCGTAAGACTGTATTACCACATCGAGGTGAACACAAAGATCAGGATAATAAACTTTTTATTCCAATGAGCGTGCCAATACAAGGGAGCATATAGTAAAAAAAAATTGCCATTAATTTGATATGGTTATTTTTGTTTGCTTTAGGTGAAGTTGGTTAATGACTTACTGCATGAGGTAGTACAGAAAAACATAGAACTCAGAAAAAGTAAATATATTCCTTTCTTACATATAAACCATCCACAGTTAACTGCTAAAGGATGATTTAAAAATATTATAATCCAAGGAATTTACCTGACTCCTTTAGAAATAAATTTGGGCAACACCAAACAAGGATTTTTATTTTGCTTTCCTCTGCACAAAAATGTTGGCGTGTTTGACTAAATGACCTTGATGAGTAAATGTCTATGTAACTTCATGCATAAGTTTATACTATTAGTAAAGGCAGTGCTTAAAACGGACTTGAGCTGTTTAAATACACATACACAAGCATATATCAAATATAAAAAAGGTACTTCTCAAACATGTACAAATTTGCATGTATGCAAACTATATTGTATACTTGTATGTGTACTTTAGTAAATTATATTATACTCCATAACATCTAACAGGTATATTCATTAAAATAAGTGAACAATCTAGGACAACATAGCTGAACTGGAAAGTGAGTTGAATTGGACAATATTTCCAAATCAGCTATTTTGGCCTATATTTTTCCTCTTGCCTTCTCCAAACTCTTCACCCGTCAGTGAATAGACCTGTAAATGTTAAAATATTTTTTAAAGCACAAAGGCATACACAAAATAAAGAACATATACTTAAGTGTTTACCTCACTGAGTCAGACATTTCCACATCTGGCAGAACTACGGTTATGCTACCATCTAGTTGCGCCTTTGCATTTACCAAAGGTTTCACACCCAGCATGTTAGGAGCTGTACGGACAGCGACATTCTGCTGAAGACCACTCATAGAATTTCCATGATTGGTAAGCGTAAAGGTGTAATGGGTTTTGGGTTTCAGGTTGGCAATTAACTTCTTTGTTGTCCGTCCATCTACATCCACTGTCTGCATATTATACTGAATCTTGAACAACAGAAGAGCATAGCATAAATAACAAACATCAAAGAACATACAGTTAATAATTACCTTCAGTTGACAATATAAACATGCCAACAACATAAATTTAGGTCCTTTTATCCTGCATGTTGCCTACTTAAAATGAAAACCGTATGTCACAAAGGTAAGCCAGGATGTCTCTTGGTAGCTGTTAACAACTCGGGTCTCTGTTGTTCTGCTGCCTGATCTGGTCCTGTCTGCTAAACTGCCTGCATTCTTCTCCTTTCAATGTAAATACATATATGAAATCAACAAGGTGGTCCCCTGTCCCAAACAATACTAGCTAGCACGCCTGCATATGGCCTTATTTCAGTGGCTGAAGCACTGTTAATGTGCAGGACCCTCACCATGTGGATACCGACCTAAACACACCTCTTCAAGAGCGAATCAGAAAAAAAAATACCCTCCTATTACCGGTACAATATGGCAGGATGCTGATGGCTACCAGGCTATTCCACACTTCTGGTGCCTCAGAAGCATGTGGGCTTTGAAGCTCTTATGTGTAATTAACCTGCACACTAAGATGCAACCCTCCAGTAAACTGGTGAGTTCACCTAAACAAAGTTAGAAGACTCATATAAACTCAAAAACTGTGTCAAATATAAAAAAAAAAAAATGGATATTCACTTCGCCTGCCTACAAAAAAGTAGAAAGTTATTCAGGGGAGTCTTAATCTATTCTGCTTCTGTGTAAAAAAAAAAGACTGAATAATAAAAACTAGTAAACATATACTAAAGTTCAAACTGGTAAACTGTTAAATAAGTTTTTTTTAATTTAGTAAGCAGCAGTCCCCTGCATGTATTTTTAGTGAACTTTAGACCTCCCCAAAACCCCTAGATCCCAATCTGCAAAAGTCTTTAAGTTCTAAAGTCAGGCCACTCCCACAGCTCCTAAAGTGATTTGTTGTCTCATTCACCAATCACTGTGAAAAGCAAGAAAGCCAGATCTGTAAAAAATAAGTCAAGGCAACTGGACTTGCTGTATTTTTCTTGAAGACATTTCACTGGTCATCCAACCAGCTTTCTCAATTCTGAATGACTTGTACAAACATTCTCTGGGAATAAATATGGTGAGTGTTGCTCCAATCCACATACAATCCAAAATGCAATCACCACCTGGTTGCAACTAACAGATTATGTGGATTGGAGTAACATTCACCATATTTATTCTCAGAGAATTTTTGTACAAGTCATTCTGAATTGAGAAGGCTGTGAGACCAGTGAAACATCTTCAAGAAAAATACAGCAAGTCCAGTTTCCTTGACTTATTTTTTACAGATATACCATGACCTGGATGAATGAGAACCTTCACAGACAAGAAGGCCTGAGTTAAACCAAAGAGCTGAAGTTCAAATGTACATAACTAACGTGTCGTAGGGGTTCTCTGTATTTAAAAAAAAAAAGTGTTTGAAAATACCTCTAGATGCCTATACTTTAGCGCCCTGTGTTTCTTTATTCACTAGACTAACTTTGGTAAAGTTACACATTTACTTTTGTCAATTTGTTTTTCAGGAAGAAAAAGACCAAGTATGGGACTGTAACATAGTATTAGTAATACCAGTATTATTACGTTTTAAAGTTAAATCAATAACCTCTAAAAAAAAAACATGTTACAAGAAAAACTAATCAAAAGGCAATGTGTAAATCAGCCAGGGGATCTCCATGAATTCCCGAGGGACAGATAAGAGCCTGAGTAGAGGCAAGGCTCTGTCTGTTGATTTAAAGGGAAATCTGTGCTGAAAGTGGCCCTAATCTGTCTGCTGTGTTTAGAACGTTTATCGTGGAATGACTGCTATGCCTTTGTGGGTACTTTTTCTCATATTAGATAAGTGGTCCACAAAACTCCCTTAACCTGTTCACCATGAAAGGGATAATACTTTCTATTTTGCTGCCACAGGAACAAGTCAACTGTCAATTAATCCCTCAATTGTCTACATCACCATTTGGGGTTTAGAAAAGCCCAGTACCCAGCATCGACCTAATGTTCAGAGATGATGGCAAACATTTTTTGGCACCCTTTTGAGACTGGTATTATCCGCATGATGTGGAGCTTACATGCTCATTGCCTTTTAGCTATTGGTATTCAATGGGACAATTATGTATTAGTTTAACATCAATCAGTAAATTCCCCATTTTGTTTTTTAACATTTTATTATAAAAATAAATGAGAAGAAAACATAGTAGACTGAGTTCAATTTCAAGTTTGGAAAATCATTAGTACAACTCTACTTGATAAGCCAATGCAAAGCCACAAAAAAGATGATACTTTTCCATTAGCTGCTGCTCCTCTTTTTCTGATGTAATAAAATGAAAATGCCTCGTTTCACAGGCTACCTGAGCAAGGATCCAAAGGCGAAGAATCCGGTTTTAGAACAGGGATTGGGGTAGTAGGTGCTTGGCACTTTTTATAGAAAGAGCTCTATTGTTTTACAAGATCAAACGACCTTTATAGTAAAAGAAATGTGATCCATCCTAATACCTTGTATGGTGTTATTGAGTTGTAATTTTCAGGAAACTCCCAGCTAAGGAGAACAGAAGTCTTTGTGACCATCCTGACCTTGAAATTTTTGGGCATTACTGAAAAACAGCAAAGACAAGAGAAAGATTACCAGAACAAGTTATAAAAATAGAAAATTCTATTTTGAAACCAGTGTTTTCAAAAGCACACTGAACAGTGTAAAAAGGAAAATTAAGTTAGTGTTTTTTGTCTTTTTTCCTGTCAACTGCAAGCATCTCTACAAACCCACACTTTGCTTCATGACTCTAAAACCAGAAATGCCATCACGATAGTACTAAACGGATTCATTGAAAAATATAAAAAAATGAATTATGTAAACAAGTGATTTCAAGGCACATACTGAAAGAAAGGCGACAGAAAAGGCATCCCACCTTGGGTGTCACTGGTGGACCCAGAAACTCATGAGAAGAGTCTTAACTAAACTTTAAGAAAGGAAAAAAGCACTTACCTGAGCATACTTTCAGATTCACTCAGTTATTAGTAAAATAATAAAATACCATTCCAATTATTACAGTCACACTGGAGCTGGAGGATTCAGGCGCTGCTTGCTTTCAAGAACCAAAACTAAAAGCCAAGGAAATAAGACTGATAAGGCCTACCTTGATTTAGAAGAAAAGTGCGGTACTGGACACTTGGACTGTAAGGCCCAGGCCCTTTATTGGTATGTGCACGTATTTTGACTTCATACACAGTGCTAGGCTTCAGATTGCTCAGCAAGCAAGAGCTTTGAGAAGATGAGAAGTCCAATTCCAACACTTTTTCAGGAGTTTCAGCAACCCAGTAAGCTACTGTATACTTGGTGATATCCCCATACTGTTCGACCAAAATAGGAGGCAGCCAGTTTAGCTGGATAGTTACAGAACTGATATTGCCAGGCTCAGTTAATAGAGGATAACCTTTAGGTGCTTCCCCTGGTATGACAAACTCTTTCACAGCTTCCTCACTAAAGCCCGCCCGGCCTTTGACTGCCATTTTAAAAATGTATTTTGCACCCTTGTGGACATTGGTCGCTGTGTATGTCTTTTGTTGAGGTCCAAACTCAAGCGTTGATAAAACTTTAGCATCATGGCGCCCAAACTGTAGGCGATACCCTAGGATGTGCTCAACTGACTCACTTGGTGGTTCCCATTGTAATTGTAGGCTGCTCTCCGATGTCTGATGCACAGAAAAGTCAGGTTTTCCAGGAACTGTAAGAAGAAGAATTAAAATTTACCGGACACATTTTATCATTGCTAGTTAAGGCTTTCCCTTTAATGACCACACTTTCCACAATGGCCTATTACAGGTACTCACGTTTAAATATGAATTAAAACTGATGAAGAATTTCTAAATAATAGTTTCATCTGACCCTAATAAAACACTTGAGATACACCTAGAGATGCTATTTTACGCATGCTCACAATAAAAGGTTTGATCTCAGAAAATATGGTCAAACAAGGAAATATTCTTATTCTAGAGCAATTAATGTGAAGTAGCAAGGTGATATGGTGCCTGTGCCTGTCAAAAATGTAACAAAGATGGTTATAGAGAATTAAGTCCATAAATAAATGGCTTACATGTTATGAAAAAAATATATATGTGCTTCAAATTTGTGCCAAGGGGTACACTTGTCTGTGGAAAAAAAGAACAATCCACAGGACAATGTTTAAGCTGTAAAGTGTACCTGTAAAGTGTTCAGTGTACACTGTATTAACGTGTTTGGTTAACATACACAAGAAAGGATATTTTTGTGCCAACATCCATTGTGTATGAATAAAACAAAAAGACACATGTTCTTAAAAAAAAATGTTGTCACATCCCTGCCCACCCCTTTCCTCCTCCAATCACAGAACAATTTGTATTCTTTGAGAAAAATGCAAGGCATTTTGTAAATGGGCAAGTAGTGCGAAGGGATGCAGCTGGAGAACTTCACTGCTTGAGTTGCATCCCTCACTCCCTGAAGTGTACAGAAGGTAAGAGTTAGGTGTAGGAGCTGGCATGCAGCAAGGTAAGATTTGTATGCTTTGCAGCAGCCCTCCACACATAACATAACTCTTTTTAATGATAGTGTGGTGTATAAAATCATCATTTTTTCCCCACAGCATTTGGCTTTAATCCATTATCTTATCAACTTAGTAGTGTAAGGCTGAAACACAACCTGTGTGGCCAGCTTTAGGCTCCAGTATTTAATACAGTTGTATAGAACTGTATTAATTAAAGGAGATAATAAAAGAGACACAAATGCTAATTTCAAAAATACTTCTGAAATCAAGTCCTAGCATTCTGAATACCATTTTACCTTAGAAAACAAAAAGTCCAAAAAGGTACATGGACCATATCAGCGGAATCAAACCATGGAAGCACCTAATCTACAAATGATGACTATCTATGTCATCGATGGCGAACCTATGGCCTGTGTGCCACAGAGGGCACGCAGAGGCCCTTCTGGTGGCACGCGAGACTAGGCAGGGGTGTCAAAATCCTATTGCCCGACGGCCGGGACATGCACTTCCGGGCAGGTAGTTTTTTTTACTACATTTAGCCTTGCTTTGAGGGGCTAAATGTACAGCGGGGAAGCTGATGCTCGTTTAGTACAAGTGATCTCAGCGATGCCGCCAAGATCACTTTTAATAAGCCTGC